TTTACCATTATCCTCATGAGATTAGCTATTGAAAACTTTACAAGACTAACTTTACGTAATATTCTTGGAGAAATATAAAATTTCTGAAATTTATTTCAAATTAAGTAAGTTGCTATATAATGATACCGGTATATAAGATATTTCTGTAGATCAGCTATCTTGTAGAATAACCCAGAATGAATTTTCATACAAATTATTTTTATGAGACTAAGAACAGTAGAAACTGCTCAACATTCAAGAACTTTCTGAGAGGTTTCATTATTGTGCATTTATCTATTTAAAATGTAAATACCAAAATAAAAATTGTGGAAAATTTGATCAGAACAAAACAAATTGTAATTTTCATCTTAATTAGTGAAGTAGTTATTGACATCTGAATGCTGTTTGTTAGTTTGTTTGGTCTTCCTAATATGAAAATGATACTGAGAAATATTGTCGATAAATAACTTTTACTAGAGTTCAAATAAAAACCTGAAAAATTTGAACAAATGAAGTGTGGCAGCTATCTTTTTACTTGGCCATTTCCATGTTGCTAAAGGGTGGAAAATATAGTTTTATAAAAAAAAAATGCCTTTCAAATAACCAGGGACGTGTTAATTAACTGAATCAAAAACTTCTGAGTTTCCATATTGTTTCAACTATTATAACAACCAGAATATGGTAAAATATTTCACCTGTTTTATTTTATCTTTGAATCTTGAGTTTAACATAGGATCAATTTGTAGGACCATATATATATATAAGATACAGTAATTATGGCAGGTATAAACTAAAAGGAAAGCAATACAGGACCAATGGACCTCTTGTCTTTTTATTAAGTAGTTAATATTCAGTGAGCAATACAGACCCAATAGACCTCTTGTCTTATATGTCAGATTCTTACAATATAAAAAGTAAAAAATTACAGAAAGACAAATTAAAGTTGAGGAAAATATATGTTTAAAGGAGTAAATATATATTAGTCAACAGTTTACAGATGTGCTTAGTAATCTAATACACGATCGTTTGTGATGTTGAGTACCTGAGGAATCACAGCTGATGAGCTGACCGTCCCAATACGTCCCAATACACGTTCAAAGGAAAGAGTTGTATTTATAGACAAAATGTACTGAGTGAAATAAATCGTGTGTGACTTATAGCGAAAAGTAAGTGTCAGAATTGTTGGCAGTTAGTAGTATATATAATCGGTGTAAACGATCCAGTCTCCACAGTAAAGATCCTTAAGGAACCTAGGTCCTCAACACAACAATCAATGACGTCAGGGACAGAATCCTTAATACTGGTTAACAACGGGGCACTGTGGGGGGTCATTGAGGAGGGTCATATTTATAATAATGAATACAAATGAGGTTATGTATAAGTACAGTGGGGTGATGGTACCTGGGGCACTCTAAGATTGTCTTGTCAACTTCAGACTTAGTACCCATAGAACACCAGAACATAGCTTAGGCCACCCATATTTCACAGAGCTAGAAGAGACCAGTCCTCAATCTACTTTTTTAGAGTTTATTTTTTTACTTTAAAGTTTTAATGAATTAATGATATAGAAAACTTGCAATTTACAAAAAGTTCCTATTATTTTCAAGAAAGTTTTAAATGAAAATAGTTACTTTTACATTTGAGTTTCAGTAACTGTAAATAATATGTATTTGAAGAGGTATAAAGATACCAGGTTACATATTTTTACTTGAAAATTAGGTTATTCAAGTTTTAAAAATTAATGTTAATTAATAGACAGCATTATCTTAGTATAATGAAAAAACTCATATTCTTATATTTCCTTCCAATTTGAAAAAAACAACATCATAAAATCTGCTGTAGTGTATAAGCATTGACCAGACCGTGAACAATACAAACAACAATGGTGTAGGAATAATAGAATCATTCACCCCCTTGGGGGTGAGACAGGGGGATCTTACCCCGAGGGTTGAGATCCCCTGTCTCACTCCCAAGGGGGTGAATGATTATTTTTCTCTTACCCTGTTTACCCTCTTATCTATATAATATTGCCGTTCCATCAATGCAAGACAATGTTGATATGATGCGATTGAATTGTCGACATGACGTCATTGTATTGTTTCCGTGACGTCATGGTATTGTTGCTTTGACGCCATACAATTGTTGAGAACGTGCAAAGAGCGCGTGTAGCTTGTCTCAACCCTAGGGTGAGATAAGAAAATCTCACACCGGTAAAATGGTGGATATCCCTGTCCAGGGTAAGAGAATGATTTCTCTCAAACTGTAGCCCTGAATCAGCATAGATTTTTAAAAGGCTGTCAACACTTGCATGGGTAATTAGAGTTGGTCTGTTAAGGAAAAACTTGGTATGACATGTAAACATTTATTTTTCAATGGTAGCAGGTATTGTATGCTTAGAAACACTGCTCCTCCAGCAGGTTTTTAAATAAAAGAAGAAAATCGTTCTCCATATCGATATTTGTGCGGAACAAAAGAGGGTGAGGACTTTATCAATACCTGCACGGTAGATTTGGTATATACCGGACAGGTGTCGTTTTCATTTACATATAGAATAATGCCAATTCAACCCATGAAAATGCACAAGAAAGACAGCATAACAGTATCACTTACACGTGCAAGGCTTAATCAAAAAGGCTTCAACTCAAGTTCTATTCAAAAGATATGAATGTTTGCCTCATAATATGATCACAATCATCTCTCGATTAATTATTGACAAGTTTTGGGGGAGCTCCGATACCTATTTATACCTATTATAGGATTTTAATGACACTATTTTTTATAGGAAGCAGTTTTTCTAACGATTAGGCCGAGAAGAGAAATAATTCATCAGGTTTGTGTAAGTTTGATACACTGCATTAAACAGGAATATGGGTTTGTCACTAGGAAATCTCAATTCACTGGGTGTCGCTGGTGGTAATCTTTTGATAAACCTAAAGGCCACACATACAAATACACAAGAATTGACCGTAATGATTTTGTCGAGAACCAGTTATACATGGTAGTATTTAAATTTTCTCCTTTGTGAAATGGAATTAGAGTGAGGCTATTTCGATTGGATATGTTTACTGTTGAAGGTTTTTACGTGAGTCGGGTATGATTCCTGACCTATTCACCTGTAGACATGTTTATAGGAATTTGACCTGCAGAGGCTCGTGTAATTATGATGCTGTACCATTGCCAAGGATCTACGATTCATTTAATATGATTCTGTAACAGGAATGAAATAAAACAATTATTGAAAAACACACCTGACAAGGTTAGAAACGTCCCCATTTAGAAATTGTTTATATTTATGGAGATAGGGACAGCAATGGACATTTACATCCCATTTAAAAATTAATATTGTTTATTGACGTAAGAAATGGCAACAGACATACTGTCAAGGAAAACTTTGGATACACAGAATGGCCAAGGAGACAAAATGATGGTGATAACCCGGTGTCATTACAGAGATACCATCAATCCAGGTGGGCTTACCTGAAAATAGTCCTTAACTGCTTCACCCCTGAAATTTCATAATGAACTATTCCAACATTTGAATCGGAAGAATTCAAATGTGTTTTCAGGGGTGAATGAGTTAAGCTGATGTTTCAAGGGATCATTTTTGTAAGTCAACCAGTGTCAACAATTCAGGAAGGTGACTTCATAAATTTGTGTATAAAAAACCAAATGTTACACATTCCAATATACCTGGTATTGAATCGACTTCATTTATACAGAGTAACAAATCATTTATCATTCGGTGGAGATTAACCATTATATACAAAATATTGTATTAGCAATTCTTATGTGAATGTTTTAAAACACACCTAATTAAAGTGTTTCTAACCAACATTGGGGGTTTAATTACAACATAAAGAAATGCCGTGTTTATAATTCTTTCATTGAATAAGTATCCAATGTACCGATAATTCTTCAATGAGAGAAGCCGACACACTGAAACCTAGTTTTTACACCTGTGCTAATCATAAATCTTCTCAACCTCCTAATACAGTTGTCCGTCCTTGTTCTGTGACACTATGTGGTCTAAAGGCTTCAGAAAATGATTTTGACACAAGTTGTACATTAGTGAGTTACGAAAAGTCTGTTAAATTTCGGTGCATAAGTTAACATTGACATAACAGGATTAACCAGATTGGGCAATTAAGTCTTCTCTTTACTCCCATTAATACCAGATAATCCCCCTAATACTACTGGTCATGTATGTTAATATAGGTTCCCGACGGAGTAATTTTCCTTGACACAATGAAGATTATAAGTTTCATTGTGTTTTGAGTGATCGGTGTGTTTGCAGCTTAAGCAGCTTTCATATTTGGAACATTGCAGGTGTTTACAAGTTAACTTAATAGAAAAAACTGGGATCTTATGTCACGGAAATGTCAAAAAGCTTTCCTTGAGTTGTGTGTTGTGGTAAAGGGATATATATATCTTTCTAAATGCTGAATTAATTTGTCAAATACAATTTTAGAGTAAAGACACTATAATGAACCACATATTTGCCATACTTGCATGAGCATCAAAATCTAGAAATTCACTTGAAAGTGTTTTCCATACAAAACCTGGAATGGGGTGCAATCGCGCATCTTCCTTATCTCATTCACCTCTGAAGACACATTTTAACTCTTCCAATTCAAAGGTTGGAATAGTTCTTTATGAAATTTTAGGGGTGAATGAGTTATTGTGGTTAAAAGGTCATTGACCTCTTTAAAATAAAAGTTTTTTAAAGAAACTTTGACCGTTTTTCAATTCAAAAGGTGATTAATTGGTGGTTGACAGACTCTCTGCTAACTTCATTAACATTCGGGATCATTTTGATAATTTATAGACTCTTTGCTGTCTCCATTAACATTGATGGTTGTTTTGTTGCTGCAGACTCAATGCTTTGTGTATTACAAGGTTAATGTGGGTTACCTCATGGTATTGTATGTACCTGTGAACAAAGGTACAGATGTAATACGTAAACTTTGGGCTGTAACCAGAGTGACAGACACAGCATCACAGAATCACAAACACACGTCACCATGGAACCAGGGCCTAACACCGAGGGGCTGGGTATGGAACTACCAAGGTCTGCCAATAAAGACCGCCATTTGTCTGCCGTCGCAATAGACACTTGTCAGGATAGTCCTTTTCTAGGACATAAAACTATAGCAGCATTTGTCCTTGTCAAAACTGACGTTTGTATTGATCGTTTGGGTGGCAGTATTGATGAGGGATTGTGAACTACCCGTCTGTCGTCATTAACCATATGTCAGTGTCTGAAATGATAACAAGCAGGGTGGGTACCCATTATAAAAGCCGCTTTGAGTGGTGTGCTCACAGCCTCCGTAGCTCTGTAGCTGTCCATTCCTCCGTGTCCAGGACGCACCACGGTCGAACACCTGTACGACACTCTGCCACAACTGCAAAAAGAGCAAACCAATATGACTTCAGAGTAGAGAAATTGAGAGTGCTAAAAACATTATTTAATTAAACATTGTGTAGTTGACCAAACACTAGAATCATTTGAACTGGTGATGAGGTGTTAGGTATATTGATTGTGTCAGGGTTGTGGTGGTGTAACACGTCCGAGGTGACTTTTAATTCCGCCTGTTTATTACAAATGTATTACTATTGGCATTGGAAGCCTGAATTATACACAGCTTTATTAAAAGTTTGGAAATTCAGAAAAAAAAAGAAAAGAAAAAAAACCCAACTTAATCCACAATCCATTTAAAAACATTTGTATCAAATTGTTTGTTTGGAAAGTTGTTAAATAGGCCTAGCCTGATGTCTAATCCAGTTATCATATACAAGTCAACAAAATCTGTTGAAATTGATAACTGTAGCTTATATTTCAATATAAAAAAAAGAGAAGTGTTACTTATGTATTTATTGTATTAAATGATACTTTTTTCATCTGATTCCATAGAAATTTTGATTTTAATTTCAACAATTGTTCCCTATCATCATAGTTATATAGGGATTTTTTTTAATTAGTACCCTGTCGTCTGCTCATCTATTGTTTGGGTTTCAACTCTTTTTAGCACAGTAGAGTAAACTGGGTAAAATGATTGGGCCTCGTAATTAACAGGATATGAGCTGTATTAGAATTCAAGGTCATAAGTCGAAAGGTCAAGGTCCTTGGTGAAGTGATAATTTGTGATAGGCACCCTTGTCTTTCATCACTGGAATGACTTAATGTCTCAATGCTAACTTGATCAAACTTCATTTAATGTTAATGTATTAAAATACCTTATATAAGTTTGTGTTTTAAGGGTGTTTATTGCCAAGGTCAAGATCACCATTACCATCAACAAAAAATCTCTGTCATCACTCTAACGACCTCAATTTTTTAACAGATTTTGATAAGAATACTTTAAATGAAATTGTTTTTCAGGATGTAGAACAGTCAAGGTCTTATCATCTGCTGTTTGGTAGAACTTTTAATTGTCATTCTAACTTTCGCAAGAAAATTTAAATGTTTACATATGGATTTAAAAATGAGATAATAATAAAATTCATTATTGGAGAATGAAGGCACTAAATTGATACATGATTATCATTAGGTACTGTTGACAAGACACAATATACTACATGTTCTATAACAGACTATTTGCCTATGAAGGATTTGTATTATTTGCTATGACCTAATTGGACAAAAGATTTGTGTTTAAGACTCATTTTGAATAATTCACCTCTGAAATTTCATAATGAACTACTCCAACCGTTGAATCAGAGTTCAAAAGTGTCCTTGAGGATTTTTAATGAGTTATTATTGAATATTTTTTAAATACATTTTTTTTTAGATATGTTTTATAATTTCCCAATGATTTTGTGTGTCCAGGTGTTTGGATGATCATTTGAAATCTCCTTAAATACATGTTATAAGTTACAAATGATTGTATTGGTACACAATGAAAATTTTGCCTTCAGTTATCATGAAGTTTGGCTTTGAAGAACTGAGCCTTTAGAATACAGTCATTTATTGGTGTTGCTTTCCTGATAACTAAAGCCTACTTTTGTTAAGCTAATTAATCCCTATGATGCACAAAAATATTTTAGGATTTTCTTCATTCTGTCAGCTCTTCGCTAGTATTGTGTCTTATATTTTCGGCAATACCCATCTTAAGAAATCAATGAGTACATATAAATGTGGAGTTTGACATTTAGCCACAGTCTGCTTTCAATTAAGGCCGAGTCCAATATTTTCGAGAGGCAAGAGTGCAGGTAAACTACTGTTTAATCAGGCAAGCGGTATTTCTGACCTCTAATGCCTTTGGTCTTGAACCCATAATCCTTCACTGTAATGGACAACATGTTTAGTGATTGTTGTACAGTGACGGGATATAATGCGTACACATTAGTTAGACCTGTCCCAGATCAGGGGTATGTTACAGAATATTTGTCCGTACTCCGCTGTACTGACCTCCGCGTTGTTCTCCAGCACACATACACACATGCACGCATACACAACACACATGGATGCACATCCTTAAATGACCTTAGCTGTTAATACGACATTAAACAAATAAAACCAAAATACTTCACAATGTCTATACTGTATACCAAGAACATTTTCTTCCCAGTCAGACGTTTGCCCTTCGCCCATGAGATCAATTTTCGCCCAGTGTTAATTTCGCTCTCTACATTTCATTACCAAGCTTATTATGTGGTGTACTTATTTTCGCTGTAATGATTATAGGGCAAATAATGAGGTAAAAAAAAGACAAAAATTAAACTGCAGCAAAAATTTCCAAGTATACAGTGTTTTTTAAAAGGGGAACATTTTGAATATGGAAATGTTTGTGTTGTGACCCTTAAAACTCTACTGTGACCCTTAAAACTCTGTTGTGACCCTTAAAACTCTACCTTGACCCTTAAAACTCGACTGTGGTCCGAAAATTTCTCACTAAGTGGAATCTTCAGTTCTTTTTACTTCTTTGCAAAAAATCCCAGCATTTGGACACTGAAACTTTCCTCTTTTACAATGTCTATGAGGATCTAACACGAGGTCTGGCTTCCCACTCCTACACAAGCTGTATTTGGTATGGTGACCAGTTAATCTACCTGGTGCCAGACCTTAAATGGTATGGATTTTTCTGCCGTACATTGATAAAGTAAACACATGTAAATTCGTCAATAAGTAGCGTAACCATGTAGATTTGATTGAATCAATGAGCTGGTGTGCTGCTGGCAAGGCAATGGAGTTTTTAGCTGACAATATTGACATATTAGGCAGATTTACCTCATCCGACTATATGCTCAGATAATATAGACTTTCCACCAATTCTGTCCAGTGCTGTGTTCAATATCTAGGTCAAGTATAACGCTTTGTTGAATCCGGGAACTGTATGAATGTAGTTGCTTTTATTTGGGGACCTGAAGCGTGGCTGATATTAGCGCTGCATATAGGCCATCGGATGTGACACCAATACTACGCGGTAGACAATGAACAGCAAGGTTACCATTTCATCCTCATAGTGGACCCAATATTGTTTTAATCATAATTAATATTCAGACTGCTGAAAAGAATACCATATATATAGCATCTTTTAAACATGTCATATATGTAAATAATGTGTGGGAAGGATACCAGTTTTCACGTCCAGTGTTATTTCATTTTTTTTTGTCTCATACAGAAATTTTGCAGTGGCTATACTTGCACTGAAGTACCCCATCTCTACCCCAACCCAGCCCCAGCCCCAGTCTTTTTCGAATTTGGTATCATTTTTCATCTTTTTCGGATATTGCTTAATGTAGCATATGTCTGAATTAATTTGTTTTCTCTGACTTAACACTATTTTCTGTTGAAATGTGTAAGGCTTCCAGAGTTACTCCCTTGTGGCTCCCTAAGTAATTTACCCTTTGAATAGGTATCATCAGTGGCTGTTCTCAAGTACCAGTTGTGGGCTGGTGAGTGAAACTTCCTGTAAATTGTACTGTTTAAAGCGTTGGTGTTTTGTCTGTCTGCTGGATGATGCGGCTGTGGTTATGATTGGTAAATGATGGAGTAATGCTTCTACACAGTGGGTGGTAGACCGCCTGATCTATCACTGCATTGACAGCTACAAGATTCACAAAACCTGAAACCAAGTTTCCAACTTAAGAAAAAAAAATCCAATCTTTAACTTCATTAAAAAACTTGAGGTCATGTTGTGTTGTTATTATCAGAGGTAGACTGAAGATGCCTTTATGTGTTGGCAGGCACGCGTACCATTCTGACTTTTAAGGAGCAGAGTGTTACACTATAGGCATTGAAGTTATACTTGTCATCATCATCATCACATTGATGAAAGTCATGGATTTCTGTGTTTATCCTGGATTAGAGAAATTGAAGTGTGTTTATAGGTGAAGGGGAGAATCGGGCTATCACTTACATAGGATTCCAGCAATAACTGTTTCCGATTGACGGTAATTTGATAAATAGGGTGCCGTAGTGCTATAGGAAGGGGATAAACTTTTACAGGATGTGTATGTCCTGCAGCGATCCAGCCCCTCTGTAAGCACGCTATAAGGTATATTTGGATAAGTGGGGTTTGGAATAGGAAGCAGACCTCTACGAGGGGTGTTATTGTTTTGGGTGTTGTGCGGTACACGATCACCAGGAATGAGGAAGCGAGCCTGTGTGTAACGATATCTCCTCCCCATGTCTGCTGTCTCCTCCTCCAATATTGATCCCAACGAGACGGATTCCTGACTTGATCACAAACCTTTTTCCAATTTTCAGGAAAATGTAGCTAATTGGGAGAATGTGCTTCTGCAGAGTGACCACATGACGTGAGGAAAATCAGCAGGAAACGCTAAACAGGTAAGTCTTTTACTTCATAATGCACAGGAGTTTGCATACAACTTGTTATAAAAGTAATGCCGCCAGTATAACGACAATATAGCTGTGATTACCAATAATTACACAGGAAGAACGTAAATAGTAATGATTTTATTGTCAATTGAACATGTTGGATGGTTTTATCAGTGTATTAGCACCAGTGACAGGACTTGACAGTGTGTAGTTGGTGGCGAAAAAGGCAATCATAGGTTTGTGGCGAAATATGGGCCTGTTTGAGCGGATTAAATCAATTTCATGCTGATATGTCTGACTGCAGCATGGGCCGGAAGCAAGGAGATGTGGTGATAAAAGGACATGTATACACGTACACTACAAGTGTCTTTGATGACGCACTAACAGTTATCATCTTCGATAAGTCTTCAATAGTTCAGTTACTGATGTTTTTCAAAAAAGTTTTGCTGTACGATTCGACACCAAAATCATTTATTGACTTCTTTTCTTAGTTTTCTTTTTAGCACAATTGATATATATATAGTATGTAACAATAATAAAATAAATAAATAAAAAAAACAGTTTGTTGCTACAGTAGTTCCTATATATACATTTTATAAACCAAATATTCTGTATGGTGTTAGTGAACTTGATAATGTTAAGGTTTGAACATTACTCGTATATTTTTAAAAAGTTTTATTTTTAATGTCTGGTGTTTTGGTATAGACTATTAATTCATGACCTTGCTAGAAAAATGAATAAAAGCTGTGAAAAAAAGCCGTGAAATGAATCATTTAGATTCAGGATGTCTATATATAACTTAGTATAGATGTTCCAGTCATTACAGCTACATGTGTTTTGATTTTACATCCTCAAAACCTGTACTTGTTATATATCTCCTGTGTGTGCTAAAAAAATAATCTACATCTTCTCTTCACCATTATTATCTGTTTTATCGGGCAAGGAGTCGGTATATATGGCCCTATCTGAGAGGAAGATCTCTCTCACTGGTTATAGACAAGCAAGGCTAATGTTGTACCCAGTGTTTATACAGGAGGCAAGGGCACTGCCCCCTCCCCTAACTTGTATCTATATCTACAGGTCCTTCCTTCTGGTAATTGTTTGTCCCTACGGTCCTCCTCCTCCTCCTCCTCCTCCTCCTCCTCTATCTTGTCTCAGTCAAGGTTTTCGTTGTACCCCTTCCCCCAAGGTCCACTTTATCACCTTTTCACTGGGGCACTCATCCGGCCTCTCACCCCAGGGGTTTAGATCTATCCCCAATCCCGGGGCTTCTTCACAAACATCTTTCTCTGACTTCCATCCTGTGTCCTTCTACTTTGATCCCCCCCTCCAGCTCAACTCCCGGTCCCTTTAAAGTTTTTCCAGTGCTACAAGCACTGATGCATGTAAGGGTTCCATTCAATTAGCATCTTTAGTTGGTACTTAGGTGGACATGTAGGTCACCTTGATCAAAACCAATTAGATTTTATTTGCTGGCGAGTTGATCTGGGGCCAAGTGTTCTACATTACCTCCAGTTAAGGGTGCCGTACTGTTCCCCGGGGAATTCGCTACCTCCCTATTGCATCACCAACAATCATATACATGTGTGTTGTAGAAACCAACTTGGGAGTCAATTAAGATATTATATCTGTAAAGTGCATTTCGTATAAGTTTTCACTGACAGGATTTTCTGACGTAGAGAGATAGCCAACAGTAAGTCTGACAGGGGGCGTGTGAGTACAGAAGAAGATACAGGTAGACCTTTATCACACTATACATCAAGCAAACACGTCTACTGTATTACCTCGCAATGAAAGTCCGTAATCTAATTCTGTCCCGAGTTTCTAGGTACACTTCAACATTTGACTTAGTAACTGGACTGAATTCCTGCTCTCGGAGTGGAGAACAGGACCATGGACGAGTCTTATACTACAACATTACCACTTTGAAATTTCAACTAAAGTGTCTTTTCACAGATGCTTTCCATGACGTTTCGTTTTATTAAAAAAAATTGGCCACTGGATGCGTGAAGCAAATTCCGCTCATAGATTGTTTCACATGTGTATTGTTTCGGTTCACCTTCGTCAGACTTCTGGGTTAGATCAACCTGACTTTCATACAAAGCGTATTGATGCTGCCAGGTTGATAAGTACTGTATATGCATATACTGAGTTATACAGCACAGGTCTACCTGACCACAGTGTGATGGCTCACACAGCATCTGGACCAGCTAAGATCTTACACCAACACTGGGCCATCCTCAGCCACAAAATTAGCTACACCTGTTTAAAAATTTCAACTACAACTCTGTTGTTTGTAATGATGGGTGTTTCTGGGCGCTCAACCCATGTTGTAAACATCTACAAACAAGATGATGATGCTGATGATGAGAATGAGAATGTTCATTTTAATGTTTCGCATTAATGGTAGATCTAGCTAAACAGTGCATATATCATAGTACGGCTAATATTAGAAGTCAAATGGGTCTACACAGAACAGTAGTGGCAGATATATAAATAGATCTGGTGATTAATGTAATCGAAAATTGTTTACTTATAGTGAATTGGCAAAAATTATAGGAGAAGGATATTACAGAAAGAATTTTTAAATGTGATCTAATACCTGTAAAGTTATCTATTAAAAGTTACTTATTTATATGATGTGTATATATATCTAGATTGAGTAAACAAGAAATTGTGTATATTGTTAAATAGACAAAATGAAGAAGTTTTCAAAAGATAACAGCTAATGCCGTGGAAATTGAACCTACGGGGCTACCCCAACTCTGGCAATTCTCAACAAGGCATATACTTACATCTACCTCTGTGATATATATATATAGATATATATATCAACATACGGGAGAAATATCATTAAAACCTTAAAAAGGGGGAAAATTGTCTGTTGTCTTAATGTTTCATTGATCAGACCAGGGTGTTGATAAAAGTGGTTGGGTGAGCTGGCCTGTATCTTCAGCAGTAAACTTTATTACATGACTTTATGTGTGTCGAACATTGATTATTTGTCATAATGACGAATCCTTTCATGGTGCTACAGCGTAATCAAGCTAGGACCCATGTTACACAGAGTTTATGGTCACTCTGACCTGCGCTTCCATTTCTGTATAAATATATGGTCACTCTGACCTGCACTTCCATTTCTGTAAAAATATATGGTCACTCTGACCTGCGCTTCCATTTCTGTATAAATATATGGTCACTCTGACCTGCGCTTTGATTTCTGTATAAATGTATGGTCACCCTGGTCTCAGTTCCAGTGCTGTATAAATGTATGGTCACTCTGACCTGCACTCTCATTTCTGTAAAAATATATGGTCACTCTGACCTGCACTTCCATTTCTGTATAAATATATGGTCACTCTGACCTGCGCTTCCATTTCTGTATAAATGTATGGTCACTTTGACCTGCGCTTCCATTTCTGTATAAATATATGGTAACTCTGACCTGCGCTTTGATTTCTGTATAAATGTATGGTCACCCTGGTCTCAGTTCCAGTGCTGTATAAATGTATTGTCATCATGGTCTCAGTTCCATTGCTGTATACATGTATGGTCCCCCTGGTCTCAGTTCATTTGCTGTATAAATGAATGGTCACCCTGGTCTCAGTTCCAGTGCTGTATAAATGTATGGTCATCATGGTCTCAGTTCCATTGCTGTATACATGTATGGTCACCCTGGTCTCAGTTCATTTGCTGTATAAATGTATGGTCACCCTGGTCTCAGTTCCAGTGCTGTATACATGTATGGTCACCCTGGTCTCAGTTCATTTGCTGTATAAATGTATGGTCACCCTGGTCTCAGTTCCTTTGCTGTTTAAATGTATGGTCACCCTGGTCTCAGTTCATTTGCTGTATAAATGAATGGTCACCCTGGTCTCAGTTCCAGTGCTGTATAAATGTATGGTTACCCTGGTCTCGGTTCCAGTGCTGTATAAATGTATGGTTACCCTGGTCTCAGTTCCAGTGCTGTATAAATGTATGGCTACCCTGGTCTCAGTTCATTTGCTGTATAAATGAATGGTCACCCTCGTCTCAGTTCCAGTGCTGTATAAATGAATGGTAACCCTGGTCTCAGTTCCTTTGCTGTTTAAATGTATGGTCACTCTGGTCTCAGTTCATTTGCTGTTTAAATGTATGGTCACTCTGGTCTCAGTTCATTTGCTGTATAAATGTATGGCTACCCTGGTCTCAGTTCCAGAGCTGTATAAATATATGGTCACCCTGGTCTCAGTTCCAGTGCTGTATAAATGTATGGTTACCCTGGTCTCGGTTCCAGTGCTGTATAAATGTATGGTTACCCTGGTCTCAGTTCCAGTGCTGTATAAATGTATGGTCACCCTGGTGTCAGTTCCAGTACTGTATAAATGTATGGTCACCCTGGTCTCTGTTCAAGTGCTGTATACATGTATGGTTACCCTGGTCTCAGTTCCAGTGCTGTATAAATGAATGGTCACCCTGGTGTCAGTTCCAGTGCTGTATACATGTATGGTCACCCTGGTCTCAGTTCCAGTGCTGTATAAATGTATGGTCACCCTGGTCTCAGTTCCAGTGCTGTATACATATATGGTTACCCTGGTCTCAGTACAAGTTTTATATAGCTGTGTGATCACTCTGACCTGATCACCTTGACCTCAGCCTCAGTGCTGTATTTCTGTATGATCACCCTGTCATCAGCCCCAGTCTTGTGAGGTAAACTGTACCATCAACTTGACGCTGTTCCCTGTTCTATGATCACGTTGACCCTGGCCCATTGCTGTATTACTGTATGATCACATTGACCCTGGCCCCTGTTCTATATAACTGTATGATCATGTTGACCCTGGCCCCTGTTCTGAATAACTGTATGATCATGTTGACCCTGGCCCCTGTTTTATATAACTGTATAATCACGTTGACCCTGGCCCCTGTTCTGTATAACTGTATGATCACGTTGACCCTGGCCCCTTTTCTGTATAACTGTATGATCACGTTGACCCTGGCCCCTTTTCTGTATAACTGTATGATCTCGTTGATGCTGGCCCCTTTTCTGTATAACTGTATGATCATGTTGACCCTGGCCCCTTTTCTGTATAACTGTATGATCACGTTGACCCTGGCCCCTTTTCTGTATAACTGTATGATCACGTTGACGCTGGCCCCTTTTCTGTATAATTGTATTGTTCACTCTAACATCAACCCGTTCTGTATTTCTGTGTGATCATCCTGACTGCATCACTTGTTCTGAATAACTGTACCTTGCCCCTGACCCCATTTCTGTATTACTGTATGATCACCTTGACCCCAGTTGATCACCCTGATCCTGGCCCATGTGCTATGACGACACCCTGTGACCTTGCTTTTAGTGCTGTGCTACTGTTAGGGTACAGAAAATATGAACAGAAAAATTTTCAAATACATGGCTGGACAAAATAATTTTATTTCATTTATTCACTACTTTTATTGTAAATTTTGAATATTTTATTGGGAAGTCTTCAGGTTCACTCTGAATAATTGGTGTCTGTTTACAGTTCATTGTGTTTTGTTAGATGTTCAGCCCAAGTGGTTCAAACACAAGCATCAGACAACCTTACTAGATGTATCTCCAGATATTCTCTACATATAAATCGAATATCCTCATTTCACGTAACCTGAAAGGGAATTATATACACTATGGGTTTGTGCTGGATATTTTGAACTTAATAAATAAGTGCATGAGCTGAGAGTTTTGGGATGGTGAGAGATAGTGAGGATGTGATGGGGTGGAGTTGTTAGTTTGGTGAGAGAGATAAAGGCATAGACCAGCAATGGTGATCTGTAGGTGTTAGGGGGAGACTTGGTTGGGGACGCGGGAATTAAGGTGATTTTAAATAGAGCAAGTTTTGGGTTTGCCATGGGAGGGGTGGGGGAGGAGGTTGGAGAGGGATAGATGGTGTATGTATTATAATCTTGATTCATTTTACAACAATTATAAAACAAGTTATTTCAACTTATATTAATCACTTCTGTTGGCCTGGATGTTAGCACGCGAGGGGTTTTAATGTGGGAGGAAACCGAAGTACCCAGAGAAAACCAACAAATCGGGCAGGTGACCCGCATTTACCTCCAGAGAAAGTTAAGGGGAGGGTTATGGTATGTGTGAATAGAAAGCAGTGGAACTCTCTAGTGTTTTATCTGTATTGCGACAGGGATACTTCATCTGGAGTTGGTTGGGGTTGTTGGTAGGTGAGGTGTTTAATTTGTGAATGTGTAGATTTCTTATCCCCCCAGCAGCTATCAGAAGACAGAAGAACAGTCAGAGTTTGGAATCCTATGACTCATTGTTAGAAGGAACTGTGTCAAGCAGGACAACTTTCTTTCTGCCTTATTTACCATTTCTATCCGTAATTGTTTTTCTTTTTAACAAAAGAAAACATTAATTAGATGGCTTTGGCAATAAGACAGCTGTTCAGAAACATTTGTTTTCCAAATGCATTTGCTATTGGTTTGTGTTGCCACTCTATATCGGCAGCTATATATGGTGAACACGGTACATATATATGACAATTGTTTTGATGTTATAAAACCACTCTGAATAATTCATTAGCTCTCTGTATATATATACATGTAGTTGGTGAAGGGCAACACAGGTTGCCTAACAATGGCACATGGAATGGATTTTATTGAGGAAGTCCACCATTTCTATAAATGGTTACAGACACTGATACTGTCTAGAGCATCGATACATTGAAAATCGTAAAAAAATGCAGGGCCTTGGTTTGATGAAAAGTTTTCCAATGTATGCATTGTGTGACATTTTATTTTACGCAACGCTTCCGCTAGCAAGCCACAGATACTTTGTTACAGCCCTCCAAACTCCCTGCAGATTCTTTGTGGTGAAATCACCAGATTCCTATTAGGATTCGGTGATCAAATGTTAAACAAAGACTATTCTTTATTATTTTTTTCAGTGTGTTATGGACAGATTGAGATGGAAAGGTTTTATTTACTCTATCCTCTGTGGCTTGATAACATCTTTTTAGGTTTTCATGGTGGTTTCCATGGCAACTGTTGACATAAACCCAATTAAATCAGAATTTTCTATTTGAAATATTTTTATTTTGAAATGCACCAATTAATTGCTCTTTGAAACGACTTGGCCATTAATATACACTTTGCTAAATTCTTGAAAGTTTTGAAAACACTTGTAACACAGATCAATTTTTACGGCAGTGTGTGTGTGTGTCCTCGATAAAAAAGTTTTACATTGCTGTAATTTACCTTTCACCGTTTATAAATGGATGTATTCTATGTTCATTATTATCATAGGTTATATAAAGCTTTTTAAAGCTTTTGATAATTTTAATGAATTTTCTAGCCTCGCTATCATTTCTCAAGAAACAGTCCATATGTATTGATTATATGTACAAAAGGGTCTTAGAGAACGAGCACCGCCGATTACCTGTAAGAAATTGACTCAATTATTGTTGTTTTATCACTTTTGTAAGGAATATTTTCATGTTTATTCAAGAAGAAAATTAAATTTCATTAAATGAATGAAAACGCTATGTTCAGAAGGTTCAAGATAATGACATATGCCTGTTTTAGAATAACGTTCAGAGGCTTGGCTCTGCAGTCGACAGGAATCACACTGGTGTCTATACTTAAAAGCACCCATTAATTGATGTGAATTGGTTGTGTGGTTGTTAAATCTACTGTTGGTGTCTGCAACAGTTCTGGTGATGACGCCCCAAGCGTTCCCAAGCCCACACAAGGCCATGGTACTGATCGTGTCACCACAAAATCATTCCTAGAAACCCTTATCAGTAAAGTTATAAGTGGTTGCATGGACTTAAAGCATGGCCCCAAGGTCACTCTTACCATCTGTCAAAGGTACACTTCTGGCAAAACATCACAAGCTGCCTAGTTACAGGGTCATGATCGCTTCTTTTTCGGTTAATGCTTCGAGAAGATAGCTCCGTTTCCTGTTTACTGTTGTTAGCCAGACTTTGTTTGTTGTTTGGTGTCATAGCAACACAACGTTCACATGATCAAGTACAAAACTCCATGCTGTCACTGGGTCACAAGGGTTCACCATAGTATTTTGTTAAATTGAAGGTTTTCGTATTTCAAAAATGTTTGTGCTTAGAATGTGCTTAGAATATATTATTATTTTAGTGTAAGATTTTGGGGAAATAGTTTTTGAAAGTGTAGAGTTTGGCTAGTAAAGCCTTCTGCTCATTTTAAGCCAAGCTGATAGGTTCAATCCCTTCTGATGTTATTAGGACTTGGATAATGCATCCTAGCTACTCTCACAGATTTGTTCAGAGATATGCAGGCCCGTTAAGACGGAGGTATTCTTGGCAGCAAGTTTGTTAAAGCAACAACAGGCATTTCGTCTTTGCAATTAGGTGTTCTGTTGAGTTAGGACAACTTCGCTGACACCCTTATTGATGAGTGACATTGACTGCCTGCTCTGATGTAGACAATTGTTGTTTCTGTCTAATTAACATTTTTATAAACACATTCGTTAATTATCTTGCTGGAATGCTTGTAAATATTTTGTTTGAAACGTAGAATAACCAGGTCGCACTGTCTTCTGAAAGGTTAGTGCATGATCGGCAGCCACAGTGATCACTCAATTAGAAGAGGAAATGGCAGAGTATTGAATTAGTCGGCCATTTTACTCCGCAGCCCTGAACAATGAACTAACAGCCCTTGATATTTGCTGTTTGGTGGTCGTCAATTGAGTGCTCTTCGTAACTTTTGGCTACACTTCATGGCATGTGCATGTCTATGAAAATCTACAGATGAAAAGAAACATGAATTTATTGACCTACGTACAACATAGAAGTTTGCTATTTCAGAAAATTGATTGAAAAGGTTTCCTTGATGTTTTTAACGCTCCCTATAAAGAATGAGAAAAAGACTTTTTGGAATTCAGTTTTCTTTGTTTGAAAAGAACCAAAGACTGATTGATCATATTTGAAGAAAATCACTTTAATAATTTTTAGAAAATTGACAAATTTAATAGAATGATTGTTTTGATATGAAGGTCTTTTAAATGGTATAGATGAGTAAGCTGGCACTATGTCAGGGGAAGTGTATGGAAAACGGTTGTACTGAGTAATAGCCCAAAGCTTCTGTTGTTTGCCTGCCGCCCAGCCATTTAGTGATGGCCTCATACAGTTCAATGTGTCCCTTGGCTTTGAGGTTGATGGATAAAGGAAGTGTCCATACTCTGAACCTATACTCTTCTGTCTAGTTGACACGTCTTGGTACAGAGGCTGATACAGAGGCTGATACAGAGGCTGGTACAGAGGCTGATACAGAGGCTATTACAGGGACTGTTACAGAGGCTGTTTCAAAGGCTGATACAGAGGCTGATACAGCGGCTGGGACAGAGGCTGTTTCAGAGGCTGGTACAGAGACTGGTACAGAGGCTGTTAAAGAGGCTGATACAGAGGGTGGTACAGAGACTGTTTCAGAGGCTGTTACAGAGGATGATAAAGAGGCTGATACCGAGGCTGATACAGAGACCGGTACAGAGGCTGATACAGCGGCTGGGACAGAGGCTGTTTCAGAGGCTGATACAGAGGCAGACACAGAGGCTGATACAGAGACCGGTACAGAGGCTGATACAGCGGCTGGGACAGAGGCTGGGACAGAGACTGTTTCAGAGGCTGTTTCAGAGGCTGGTACAGAGACTGGTACAGTGGCTGATACAGAGGCTGATTCCGAGGCTGATACAGAGACTGGTACAGAGGCTGTTAAAGAGGCTGATACAGAGGCAGACACAGAGGCTGATACAGAGGCTGGTACAGAGGCTGATACAGAAATAATCTTGTTAGGGTATTTTTAAAAGTTATTTGGAATTTTAGTTAAGTGGGTATTCATCAATGATAACTTCATGTCAACTCGGGTCAGGGGTATTCATTAAAAGTTTGAGGGACAGGGCAAATTGTTGATGGGAAACAGCACAGTATGGAAACTTCTCTGCTTAATGAAATTTTGATAATCTTATTTCAGGTGTGTTATGTAATGCTTAAGGAAATGGGGTAAATTTATTTGAGGAAGCATTATTCACTATTCAAAAGAAAATTTGTAAAATCAAAAGTGGTATCTTACCTAATGACATCTCCTACATACCTCTTTATTTTCATTTCCATAATTCATTACATTCTATAATGTAATTTCATATCGGGTCAAATAAGTATTTTGCCAAAGCTGCACCAATATGAACAATATCTAATCAATTATTAAAGGTCTGAGACATGTTGTTCTGATGCCAGGAATTCGACCTGTGCCTTTCAGTACACTGGAGTCAGACACTGAAAAACATTAAATCTTATATATAATTACAGTGAAACATGTACACTGGGCTGTTTCCTGTATTATGTAATTATACAGGTACAACATTTTAGTACATGTTCTGTAGAGTAGTAAGCTAGGAGGTGAGCTAGGAAGTAGTCTCTTTAGACCATCTCCAAGGTGTAGTTTGTTTAATTTGGGAATCATTATCACCGGAATCTAGTTTCCAGATCTAGCTAGGACATAGGTACTGGAAGTTGTGCTGGGATATTCAAGACACCTTTGCTGATCGACAGAGATATAAATAATGTGCTATCATTTGTTTTTAAATCAGAAGTAGTGATGGAGTGTGTGCCCAGGTTATAGGTAGACCATCAGATGAGGCTTTACATCTTGCTGTTAGATCTGACTGGTGTGAAGGGAGCCTCTTGTTATGTAAAATCAAGTCTATTTATTGGTGTGACCCTCCAACACCTGCCTGTACATGTGTGTATTGAAGGATTTATCAGACAGATTGTGATGGGCTGATGGAAGAGAGGTACTAAGATGTTGTCCAGATCTGGGGGAAGATGTTGGCTTGTGTGTTTGGACTGTTGTATATTAGACTTTCACTGTAAACAGTGTAAGGGGATAGCTGTAGATAAAGAGATGCTAGATTTAGCACAGAGATATGTTCATCTAAACTCACCTGGGAAAGAAACAATTCAAACTGTAGTGAAGGATGTTGTTACTCAGTGCTGCCCCTGTGCAATTTACCTTCCTCCATCTGATTTTCTTCTAAGATAATAAACTGTTACAGTAAATATGTGCAGAGAGTTTGTATATGAGTGTTGTAGTGACATTTACACCATAAGTACAGTTCAGACAAACCTGGCCATTCTACAAGTAATGTCATTGGAAAAACCTGACCATTAAACAAGTAATTGTCATTGGACAAACCAGACCATTAAACAAGTAAGTGTCATTGGACAAACCTGGCTATTAAACAAGTAATTGTCAGCAAACTTGGCCATTAAACAAGTAGTTGTCAGTAGACAAACTTGACCACTAAACAAGTAATCGCAGTAGACAAACTTTGCCATTAAACAAGTAATTGTCAGTAGACAAACCTGACCATTAAACAAGTAATTGTCAGTAGACAAACTTGGCCATTAAACAAGTAATTGTCATTTGACAAACCTGACCATTAAACAAGTAAGTGTCATTGAACAAACCTGACCATTAAACAAGTAAGTGTCATTGAACAAACCAGACCATTAAACAAGTAATTGTCATTGGACAAACCTGGCTATTAAACAAGTAATTGTCAGCAAACTTGGCCATTAAACAAGTAGTTGTCATTAAATGAGTAAGTGTCATTGGACAAACTTAAAATTATACAATTAAAAGTCCTAGGACAGTCACTTGACAAACCAGAAAATTATGCAGAAAAAAAGTCACTTGATAAGCCATTGCTGTACAGTCACTAGGACCAGAAGTTGTATGGTGCACATATTGATGTCAATTCTGTTCGTGTTATAGAATAGGATTTTATTTAGAATTTTGACAGAGATGTATTACAGAAACTACCTGATGCACAGCTAAAGATAGTAGATCAGGGCAAAAATAAGGCATTCCAGAATGTTCTTTATATTGTTGGGCTTAAGTGAGATGACCTTGAGTAAGTGATTGATGGCGAAGCTCGATGTTGATGGTTAACTGCAATAAGTGACCGTTTCACTCAAGATCTGGTAAAAGTTGATGGTCAATTCTAGCCCAGGACCAAATGTAAGGCATTTCGACAAAAAAAGATCGAAATGTAAACTTTTTCCTCTATCTCAGACAACATAAATTGTATTTACAAATATTCAGAAAAGAATTTGAGCAAGGAGAAAAATGTTTTCATAAATCACTTTCCAACAGATAGAAAAGCTAGAAAGTTGTTATCTTGTGAAAACCTGCAGCATGTTTCTATTTATTATCTGCCAGCATCTTCACAATGTTATGCTCTCCAACAGAACGTTTTACTGCTGTTGACCTTGCTATAACCTTGTCTAGTCATAACTCTCAGACAGACTCATAGGATTTATTATACAAACAACGATTTATTTGGATCAGCCAGATAGTAGACATCTAATGGACCACCAGTAGGTTTCAAATTCCAAATGATACCATGCATTTGCTGACCCGCATGTGAAAGGAATAGGAAATTGCGATAGAGCAAACCAGACGAGACTGAACAAAATTTTGTTGAAGGCTGACTCTAAACTTAGTACTTACTGCTGATCAATGGACCCTGAGCCAAAGTTCTGCTACACGAAGGCATGAAGGACAGGTGGGGAGGATACGGAGGCTGTCAAGGAATAAGTGCTGATGACTCCAGCGATTACTTGTCTACGGTACACCTCACAGTGATGAATGCTATTAGGATCCCATGCTTTGAGCATTGCTGCCTACCCTTTTTGTTTCCAATCTCCCTGGAGATAAGGCCAATGTCAGGCTGCATTCTCTTGCCACCTACAGTACATTTACAGAATACTCAATAACTACAAACACATTCCAGATACTTTCTCACTTGCAGGTAGAAAATTAAGCCAGTGAAAAATGTTTTATCTTTTTATTTGAAGTTTGAACTTTTCAAATATCACTGCATGTTTATGCAGCCATTTTCTAACTCTGCTTCGTATGTGTTCTTTGCTGCAAAGTTCTAAAGGTCTTATATTGCGTCATGTTTTGATCTTGAATGTTATTTGTGGAGGGAAAGTAGTGAGTACCAAGTGTACAGTCCTATACATTTTTTAAATTCTATTTTTAAGAACACCGACGACATCCTGAAAATATTTATCAAACTTCTCTTTATTTTATTCTGCATAGAAACAAACATCGAATGCAGACAATAATACTCTTAACAAGGGCTGCTAAGAGTAAACAATATCTGTCTGATTATTTTATGACCCAGTTTTGTGGTTCTGTACAAGACTCCTGACCCCAGGATTATGAAACGATCTTAAGTCTAAATTTGTCTTAAGTTTTGACTTATTCAATCAAAAATAACGTCATGAAAAGTGATGTCATACTTAATTGGCTAAGCAAAAACTTCAGTCTAAGATTGTTTCATGATCTGGGGACAGGAATCAAACCCTTGCCTAGGTACCTGTTCACTGGATTAAACCCTATCAAACTCTCAAGATCTCTCGGTCAACCAGGGCTAGTCAGCACTATAATTAAACTCTGTCACTTTGAATGTCTACCGAATTGTAATTTCCTTTTAAGTTTTCTACATCATTTTCACAACATGATTTTTACACAAATTTCGGTTTGAAAACGATTGATAATTAAACTCTAATCATAGATTCAGACTTGTGTCTACCAGTATGCAATGCAATGTTCAATGTTCTAGATTACATTGTCGACCAGGGTTAGCATCGCTCAAAACTGAGATATTGAATTTTTAATTCAATATTTTTTACAGCAGATTTTATTTTGTGCATATCAACAAAACGCTCGGAGGAGAGAAAAATAAAGAGCTTTCCCTATAATTAGAATGAGGTTATATTTACAATCAAGGGCCACACAGGCAGGTTCGATAATATGTGACCACACATGTTTAATCCTATCACTGCGTTTAGCTGTGAAGAAGCTGCAGGTGCTTGTAGAAGAGGGAGCAGATACCACGGATACCTCTACAAACATAGCCGACCTTAATTAGCAATTAACTTCAGATTACCAAAGCCATCCATTTGAAATGGCAGTACATGCATGATCAAATGACACAAGTAAAGGTTACGAAAGAAATCCTGCTGGCAGATACCAGTAATACCAATTTACTATTTTTATTTTATTGGCTGAATGTAAAGAATTTTTTTCCTCCAAGTTCATTCTGTTCAGAAAGAATATCTTTTTTGTGAGAAAAAGTGCATTTTTTTGACAATTAAGGTATATACATTTGCTTGTATTTGCTTGCACAAAAAAAGTGTATTTGTTGATCTGTACGTCAAGGAGGATGAGAATTGGTACTGTAGCATAACAGTTTGACACATTTTACAAATTGACTTTTAATGCTGTAAGTAAGATAGTGAGATTAGTGTCGATTGGGAATTACACCTCTGGGAGTCTGTGTAAATAGACTTGACACAGTGGATTACCGAACAAATCTGTCTGATATACCATAGGTGTAACAAGGTGATCGCTGGTAGAGGGCCCCATCACTAAACAGCTCCCAGATCAGGAGCTGGTGTGAGGAGCCAAGGAAGGTCAAATAGTGCAGGGGATGGAATTAAAGGTAAAAAGTGGGTATCACACAGACAGCAGGCTAGGGGAGGCTGTAGTAGTAGGAAGGCTAGGGTAAGCAGTACAGTCATACCTCACCATAAGTTGGTCAATATTTCACATGCTCAGTGGCTGCAGCCTATTTAAATGACAACCCACCTAACTTTAAAGCCATTATCTCCCAGTGGCTACTAGAATCATGGGATTGTAATTGTATCCTAATGATAACTGTGTAATGACGTGTAAGGTGGGATTAGGAAGGTGTCCACTGTAAGATGGATTTCTGGTGAGTATATTAGATAG